GAAAATAAAATGCATCAATGAGCTGTGTGTACAAGCTCCTTAGAGGAAGGACACAATCTTTAAAATGCAGTAAAAAGAAACCCTGGTTTAAGTTAAGTAACAAAGAAATCTGGTTTCTTATTGCATATTTTAATAAATTATATACTTTAATTCTTTGATAATGCTTTAGAATATTAAACCACTTGACTTCAATTACTTTTTTTAACTTGTTACATTTAATAATAATAATGTCTTGTCAAATCAGTCCTGACTTTTCCAGGGTTTTCCAGGTAGAGAATACTCAGAAGTGCTTTACTATTCTCTTCCTCTAGGGGGCGCCCAGGGACTGTGCAGCTTGCCCAAGGCTACCCAGGCTGGCTCTTTGCCCAGGAGGCACAGTGGGGATTCGAACTCCTGGTCTCTGGATACCATAATTAAAAAGACAATGTGTGAAAGCTAAAAACAGTAAGTATACAAATCTTAGAAAGAATTAAATAAATATTATATTAAAATTGGTAAATAAAATTGTAAATGGTATAAATGGTAAATATAATCGAAACTAAAAACAAATTTAAATCACGGTAGAGTCCCCCCCACCCGCAAATTCACTTATCTGTTGCCTGAAAATACTAAGAACGCATTCAAAAGCTACAAAGCACAACAATCCAAGTTACTTTTAAAAAAAGCCTTTCAGACAGCCAGTCGCTTAAAAAAAGCCTGCCTGTAGAGAAAGGTTTTTGCTTGCTTGTGGAAAGACAGCAAAGATGGGGCCAGGCAATGAGTTTACACCAATATTTCAAATAATCAAAGGGGAGCAAGAGATGGTTAGAGCAACCTCTGCTTAGATCTAACCTCTGGTTAGATCAACGTCTGCAAGAGATGGTTAGATCAACCTCTGTATGCAAATGCGAGGCTCCTCCATACAACGCCATATTCAAAAGCGACCCTTCCGGGACGATCCCTCGCCTCTTCATTCATCCGTCTCTCCTTTCCTGCAGCTCCATCATAACGTTGCTCCTTCTCTTTACCTTGCAGGAGGACTCAGACCTGGTCCATCTGGATCACCCGTGCTGGGAACGATCATCAGCACCACAAGTGGGTGAAGTCACACACCCAAAGAATACGCCAGATGCAGCGGCCAAGTAAAACAGAGGGCCAGGCCCCTCCGGCGGAAGATAAATGAGCTGAAGCTACCAGAGGCAGAAGAAAGATCAAGGTGGTGATGGGAATATCCGGAACATTCCACTTCTGTTCTGGCTCTACAATAATTTTTTTTAAAAAACAGGCTCTCTTCTGAAAGTCATATACAGCTGGAAAGATTTCAGGAAATAAATGCTGTCCAAAACTTTGATACACAGACATGCACACAGAGAGAATCTATGTGAACCCCACTTCTCCGAGCAGGAGACACTAGTGCTTCGTTTATCCAAGATTGGCACCTTTTGCAAGAAAGTGTAGCAACTGGTAACGTTTGTTTTGTCATAAATAAATATGCGTGCATTTCATAAATATGTACTTAATGTATTCCCAAAGGCTTGCATTTATTTAAATATGTATTTATTGATAAAGGTATTGGCTTCACATAGATGGGTGCACGCAGCTTCAACCATTCAAAGAGTCAAAAATCCAGGACTTCTCTCGCTAATCTCTGGGCAAAGATGCGTCTACAGGATTTGGAGGGGGGGGAGGAGAGGTTGGAGGAGGGAAACCCAGTATAACTCATGCACACCATGAGCATAATATGAGCATAATCCATGCACACAGTGTGTGTACCATTGCAATCCACGGTGCCTGTCTGTGTGCACTGAAACAATACATAAATTTAGGATGTGAGAGGGAGCAAGCCATCTTACCATGGACCCCCGGTGAAGTTTACAGAGCCTGAATTGAGCTCTTCCTTCTGTCTCTTGCCCAGCCACAAGCTGCTGCTTCTCAGTCTTTGCCTGGGGTTGGGAGAGAGAGGGAGAGAGATTCTTTTTTCAGGTCTTTCCTAACTATTCAAAAGGCCAGCTATTGATAACAAAACAGCCAGGCTCCCTAACAAAAGAAGCGCTTGGCAACTTCTCCGGTAATTTTCCAGTAATATTCCTGAATCTTTTAACCCACTCGTGGGCAGCCGGAAATCTCTGAAACTTTGCAAAAAAAAAAAATTAAAATAGGTGTGTATATATCCACCTTTGCAGAGAAAGATACGCATAGTTTGGTCCCTCCTTCCTCAGTTTGACTGCAGAGGAGAAAAAAGAGTTGTCCTTTTTTCACTAGCTTTGGATATTGGCCTTGAACAGGAACTTACACCCAGGCATTGAATAGGTGACATTTCCTGTGGATGGGGGGGAAAAAACACCCGTCACCCATTGAGTGTAATGAGGCTGCTGTGAAGCACATGGGAGCAGGGTTGGTTTTTAAAAAAAAACATGACAACCAGAAGCGGAAGGGAGAGGCAATGGATATTTTACTGGCCCTGCTCAGCTTCCCATTTACATGTGAAAATTAGCAGGTAAAAGCTTTCTCCAGCAAGGAGAGGTGGGAAAAGTTTCAGCTATTAAATTTACGTGTATCTGATTTGATTCTAAAGGCACAGGAGCCCAATGGGTTAAAAGGTGGGAACTGGATATGCAGCCTTGATTGATCTCAACGGTATAAGCCACATCGATCAGTTTCCTATGCAATAGTTATTGTGCTTGCCCTCACAAGCCTGTGAGGCGGCTGGCTTGTTTGCGATTTGTGGCTGATGGACTGAGAATGGGAGAAGGCTGGAGTGGTCCATACCCACAAGTGAGTTTGAGCAGGTTCGCTTCTATAAGGAGCAGGTCTTTTGTAAAGTGAATGGCTCTTTATGGCCCATCCAAGACAAAACCAGTCTTCACATTACAACAGGAACAGAGGGCAACAATGTACCTAGGGAAACCCATTTCTTCCCCTGCTGTTGTCAGAGTTGCAGATAAGCCCTGGGAGGAGGGGGTGGCAGCAGATACAGTAGGAAACATACACACACACACAGACACACACAGATGCTGGAAAATGTGGATTATAACAGCTGCTCTCTGGCTCCCTCTAGTAACCAGTTCTGTTAATGACATGATGGAAACCTGTATTTCTAGGATTTTTCTTCTTTTTAACATTTTCACACTCTGTGGATACTGATCCTGTGGATAAGGGGGTCCTACTGTAATGTAATTATCCCCCCCCCACTAAGAAAGTCCTGGAGTTTTGATCCCGCGAGCTCCACAACAACCCTGCACAAACTCCTCACAAAACGGCCACCTTTGTGAGGTGCCCTGATAGTTTCCACACATGTTTGGAAAGTGGCCGTTCCATGACAGAAGGAGTCCACCCTTTTTTGTATCTCTGGTGGCCACATGAAAAGGAAGTGAGGGCTGCTGTGCTGTTAGCTGATGGGTGGAACCGGAGGTTTCCACAGGTGTTGCTCCTCAGGAAAGACACAGCTGCTGAAAATCCCCTCAGTGGCACGACCGTTAAAGACGCAGGAGCCCCGACTGCCATGACCTATGGCTGCCCTGCTTTTCCCGCCAACTTACTGGCTGTCAGAACTGGCCAGAATTCTCTCTCTCTCTGTGTATTTTAGCATGCTTTTATTTTATTTTTTTAAAGGATGAAGGGGGAAAAAAATCTCCTCAAGGTTGTCCCCTCATCCTATCCACCCAACCTGCCTTCTAAGGAGGGGTGGGCAACTTGAAGCCTCATAAAACAAGCCCACCTCAGGACCAGGGATTTTTAAAAAACCACCAATATTAACTCCAAGAAGCTTAGGAGACAAACGGTTTATATGTAAATATTTTATTAATCAAATAAACAGATGGCTTGCTTGTGCAGGCCTGGCCTGAGGCACCGTGAAAGGCTGAGGAGCCCCTGATAAAGATGCACGTGGTGGCTCTTAATCGGCTCTACCTGTTTAAACCCACTTCTCTTCCTTTTTTTAAAAAAGTGTTTGCGTATGTGTTATTTTTCTGTCACTCTGGGGGCAACTTCATTTCATCAGCGAAAGAAGCAGAAGAGCCCTCTTGAGGTGTGGCATAGGGTCATCCTCGGGCTTTATAGGGCAACAGGGAGGCTGCCATGGGACTCCCGCCATTCTGTCATTGAGGGGCTGTGGCGAACCCCGAATTCCAAAGCCGAGCCCGACCTTCACAGCTGGGGCTGAGGCGGACTTGCTTTGTGAGGGATCGAGGTGCTCACCCCTCAGAGCATCCGCGCTTGGAGGAGTGTGTATGTAGCCATGACGGCCTTGAGGAGATTCTTTCCTTGGTACTTAAAAATAAATAAATACACCTTTCAGGGTGCTGATAGATAGATAGATAGATAGATAGATAGATAGATAGATAGATAGATAGATAGATAGATAGATAGATAGATAGATAGATAGATAGATAGATAGATAGATAGATAGATAGATAGATAGATTGATTGATTGATTGATTGATTGATTGATTGATTGATTGATTGATTGATTGATTGATTTCATTTTTACCCCCCCCCCCATCTAGATTCAGGAATCTACTCTGGGTGGTGTACAAAGTATAGAGATAAAAACAACTAGATAGACAGACAGACAGACAGACAGACCGACCGACCGATCGATCGATCGATCGATAGATTCTTTCTTAAAGGACTCCCTCCTGTGTCCTTGTGAAGGAAAAACAATTCAGAAGCTTGGAAGCCGCTCAAGAGAAAAAAGGAGGGGAGGAAGAGAGAGAGGTGTTTTTTTTTCCTCCCCTTTAATATATTATTATTTCGCGCAGCCAGCCCAGCCCTCCTGAGCTGAACTCGCCCGTCCAAAAAAAAGAGAGAGAGAGGGAAAAAAAGGAGGTCGTGAAAAGCTGCTGGCTCCGGCTTCCAGGCGCTCAGTCGCAGCCCTGCCCGCCCGCCTCGCCTCGCCTCGCCTCTACTTCGCCTTCGCCTTCGCCTTGCCCGGCTCTGCCTCCTGCCTTGTTCTGTCTTTCCACCGCCCGCCCCGGCCGGGCTCCAAGGAGGAGTACCCGAGACGGTGGCCAGCGTGGGTCCCCCCCCTCCGTCTCCAAGCCTGGGAAGCTAGAAGAGGGGGGATCTCCCCCCCAAAAGAGATTACTCAAGGTAAGAGGCTTCGTTTTTTCCCCCTCTCCTTTTCTTTCCATGTGTTGGATGCCAGCCGCACATTTCTCCATCCTTCCCCCCTCCTTTATCCAGCCAAAGTTTGAAAAAGTTTGTTTGTTTGTTTGTTTATTTATTTATCTATTTATTTATTTATTTCTCCATCTCAGTCCCTCCGCCTTATCCAGCCACCGTTTGAAAATGCCCCTTTATTTATTTATTCATTTATTCATTCGTTTATTTATTTATTTATTGACTACAGTTCCCAGCTGGATGGGGATTCTGGGAGTTGTAGTACTCCCCCACCCCACCCCGGGGGGAAAAAAGGGGATGCTTCCGAAAGTTCTGTTGCGCGGCCGGGGCGCCGGCGCCTTCGCGCTCTCCAAAGCCTGCCCGGCTGGGGATTCTGGGGTTTGTCGTTACCCACCCCGGAGGGTTTGCCCAAGCTCTGAGGAGCATGGGTGATGTGAAACATGCTTCTTTGCAGGCTTCTCCAGAAACTTGGCTGGAGGTGGTGCGACGCGTGGTAGACGCGAAGGCTGTGGGGGGGGAGAGGAAATGCCCCCCACCTGCATTTTTCTTTCCTCCCTTCGGAAACAGGATTTTTTAAAAAAATGCAAAAAAACAACAACAAACAAACACTTTTTCCTTTTCCCCCTTAAAAGAAGCAGCTGTTTTTGAACTCTGGGTCTTGTTCACTTATTCTTTATTCTTTCCTTCCCAGCGAGGAGGGTTTCAGGGGCTGAATTGCGCCTTCCTGCTGCGCCAGCGAGAAATATCTAGGGCAGGTATTGATCTTTGACAAAGAGGGACAGGGCGAGGAGGAGGTGGTGGTGGGGATGCTTTCTAGGTTTGGATGGAGAGCCAGAATATCCAAGGCAAATCTCTTGAATTCGACCCAGGGGTACCCAGGGCTGAGCTGAACGAAGGGGATTCTGTTTTGAGATGCTAAATTTTACCTGCATCGCAACACAGACTTGTTGATTGAAAAGAAAACAGTGGAAAGAAAAAACGGGAACAAAAAAAGAACTTGGACTCAGCTGTACTAGTTACGGAGTTTTAGAAGCATACCTTTAGCTGAGCTGGACTGGGTTAACTTGACCTCTCCCGGTCTCCGATGGGGTCATAATTTCATGCTTAACAATTAATGCTTGTACAGTACCCAACAACTGCCAGATTAGAGAGAGTTTGTTCAGGACAGGCGGCTTTGCAGTAAGCAACATGTTTAAGAAATCATAAGGCTGGCAAATTCCAGAAATTTTTTTAGTGCTTTCTCTCTCCCTCCCTCCCTCTCTCTCTCTCTCTTTCCCCTTTCTTTCTTTCCCAAATGCCATTTGGATTCACTGACCAGTGCCACTGGCATAAAGGGCACATACCAGGAGAAATTTTTCCTAGGGATGCTTCCCTGAAATTAAATCTATTTCTATGGGGCTTGTGCAGGAGAATTTCCCACTGTTTTACCCTGGAGTCTTCCCTTCCCGGCTGCATTTCACTAGAGTTGGATGCAAACGCAAGGAGTGAAACTGGGCTCCCGGTTTCCGCACAGAAGAGAGGAATAGCGAGCTGTTCTGTCTGTTTGCCAAAAATGAAGGCAAAGTGTGTAGCGTGGTTATATGGGATTGTACGGTATCAGATATATGGGCTGTAGGAAGCAGGGTGTGTGATTTTAAAAAAAAGAAAGTTATGAAGGGATAGACTTCTTATATGGTGCCGGGAATGAGTTGTCTGTTGTCCCTGTTGGTTTTTATTACTTTGGATTTCTGTTCTGCGGTTCTGTAAGGAGCCGGAGAGGGTGGGATTGAATGGCACGAGATGGGAGAAAGCTGTTTTATGTAACTCGAATTCAGAAGTGCGTGTAGGTATAATACAGATTTATAAACCCGTCAGAGTGCTATGGGGCTGTGGTTTTCGTGGCAACAGAATTCTCCGTGAAAAATACGACATCATTTTGCAGCCTGGATTCCTGCCCTTGTGCAGTGATGGTGTATCATGACAGGGAATGTGTATAACAGACATTTGCAATGGCAGACCTTAATAAATTCTTCTTGATCTGGGTTGAATATGCCACCTTACCGGCACCATTTGCATACAGAATGCTTCTGGGAAGGGGTGCAGCTTAAAAACCAGTGCTTAATTCCTACGGTGTGCTCACGACTTAACAACTAAACAACAGCAGAAACATGAAAATCTGTCCCGTGCTCTGGCCGACTCTCACCATAATTGCAGGGGATTGGATTCGGTCAGAGTTAGTTTCTGCTGAGAGAAACGCATCCAGAAGGCCCCCCCCCTTTTTTAAAAATGAATGCTTCATGCATTTGCTGCTTATGTCGTAGGACTGCAAAAGTTTCAAGGTGGGTTTGGGCGTAAACTACAATCCATGTAACATCATCCTAGCTGGAAGAGGGTGGAGAGTCTGGACCTGTTTAATCTGCAAGAGAACAAAACAGGCACGGTGAGGAAGCTGCCGTTCCTCCTGCTGTTGAGGACGTCATCCCCAGACGAAGCCAGCTCTGCTTCTGGGCATTTTTATCATCCAGGCCATTTCTTACACTTCCGTACCATCGCCCAGTCACAATGTTCCAGTATCTGACAAGTGTGAAATCTGATAATCTTAGAAAGGCAGAGCTGGAAGGGACCCTGTGGATCATTGGATCCGGTCCCTGTCAGGGAGGCCTTGAGGGTGGGAATCGAACTCCCAACCTCAGGCTCTGCAGCCAGAGACCTAAACCACTGAATGATCCAGCAATTCAATAATGTACTTTTGGGAAGGAAACCCTTCTGCCCTCTCTAGATGGCTGTTTGGTTCAATGTCCTGTTCAGTTGGCTTGATTTACTTTTTCTGGTGCAACTCCCACAGTTTTTGCCACTGTTTAAGAAGCTGCCTATTGCGCCATTGTATTTTGCAATTAAGGGGAGATGCTCAGCTCTAAACAGCACAGTCTCTGGGGGTACATCGGCAGCTTGGTGGTGCAAACATGTGAAGGCTTCCTTCTCCACCGGATTCAGCCTGGACTCAGTCCTCCAAGTTTGGAAGAAGCTGAAGCACCAGTGGTTGACCATGCCTGGCCTCATCCAGGCTTTTGCAATGGCCAGTCCCAGAAATGGGGATTTTCCTTGAGTAGTTGCAGCTGGAGGCCATTCTGATGGTCCTGGGGCAGGAGGCACAACACAGATGGACAGAATTAGGCTTGACGAGAAGAATCTTTTAAAGAGAAAAAGAAAGAAAGAAAGAAAGAAACAGAAATGGGGATTTTCCTTGAGCAGTTGCACCTGGAGGCCATTCTGGTGGTTGGGGGCAGGAGGCACAATACAGGTGGACAGAATTAGGCTTGACAAGAAGAATCTCTTAAAGAGAAAGAGAAAGGAAGAAAGAATGGATGGATGGATGGAAACTGTGCATTCACATATGAACAAGGCAGATATGAACTGGCCAGTCATCATGTGATCCTGAGAGAGTTCAATGGCCTATTTTTTGCAGTGGACCAGCCATTATTGCCCATGAACAAGACTTGATGGATCTCCTCAAGTCATCCCCTGGAGTGCCAGTGTCATACCGCCTCTGAACCTCGAGGTAACGTAGAGCCATCTTGATCAGCAGTCACTGGTAACGCTACTTTCCATTACCTTGTCTAATCACTTTTTGTGGCTAAATTGGTAGCTGTCCCCACCGACTTAGTCTGAATGGCCTTTGATAGATTCACAAATGCTCTGAGGATTTTTCCCTGCAGAGATCTTAGCCTGTGGAAACCCTCGTCTAGATGTAGACTAGTAGGCATTTTTAGATGCTTTTAAGTCTGTATGGTTTTTATTTATTTATTTAAAAGGCAGGAGGAATATTAAATTTGCTCAGCTTGGCTCCACACCCTGTAGCCACTAGAGCTGAGCAGAAAGTGGAGGGTCTGAGGGTCCTGTCTCATCCAGTTGCATGGAATTGTTGCTGAGACAGGATTTGGGGAAAGCATGTCCTGCCTTGTGTTCTCTCCATCCTTGCCCCTTGGGGGCTAGCTACAGTAATTATAACCAGTTGCCGAAGAGGCGCCCAGTTCTTTCTTTGCAGGAATGTGAATAAGGTGGTGAGACTCTGGAAGAGGCTCTTGTGTACTCTTTTTCTCAACAAAGCCCTCTCTGGGCTTCGTGGTTTTGGACCGCTTGCACCTGTTAGCCAACAACAGGCCATGTTGGAAAGAGGGAGGAAGAGGTGATGGGTCATCAGCCTCTGATGATGGGCCTGGAAGTCATGGATTTTCTAGACCCACTGCAGTCTATCTTCAGGATTGTATGGGAGTTCTCTCGGTTGCCTGTTCAATGGCCTATACCAGGAGGGGACTGGGGTAGTGAAGAGCTGCTGGTTTGCGGTAGGTTTGTGCCCACCTAAATCTGTTTCTTCTGGAGTGATCTGGGATAGGGAACAAGGATTCAGTGTTCCCTGTATCACAGGAATCAGGACTGGTTTTCTAGCTCCCAGGTCTGGGAGAAGGGCAAGCAACCTGTTTTGGAGAGAGCTGCACTCTTCTGAAGGAGGAGGTATGAAGGTACTCCTAGATGCCCAGAGTAGACCTTTGGTCTAGAAGGAAGTATGAAGGTACTCCTAGGTGCCCAGAGTAGACCTTTGGTCTAGATGAGCGGGATAGAAATCCAATAAATAAATAAACAAATGTTGCTTGGTTGATGGAGACCCACGTGGGCAGCAGTGGCTGATTTGCTAGCTTTGGTGCTTTCTGAACAGATGCAGAACAGAGTCCAATGACCCACATCTTAGAATACTTATATCTAGGCTACTGTAATATACTTTTGTGGATGAACAGATGCAGAACAGAGTCCAAAGACCAACATCTTAGAATACTGTACTTGTATCTAGGCTACTGTAATATACTTTTGTGGGGCTGCTCTTGAAGACAGTTTTCAATCCTCAGCCAGTGCAGCATGCCACGGTTTCGTAGTGCCACAAAATCTGTCTATCCTATGAACCTGTTGTTTGTGATGTGCCCTGGTTGCCTCTTTGT